TTGCTCCATCTCCTCCCCAGGCTACGGTACCTTTCACGTTGACATTCATGATGGACTCTCTGTGAATGACACCAAAGACATCAACGATAGAGGCTGTGTGGATGACAACCGTGACATCCTGGCAGGCTGTCTTCAGACATGACTCATCCAGAATGTCTCCTTCCAGCATCGTCAGCTTGGTCTTCTTCTGGAGCTCTGCGTGAACACCGGTCAGGTCAATGGAAGGATTTCTGGATCTGGCTGGGAAGTTTTCTGGTAAGGCGATGTTACATAGGTGTTCAAGGATGGTAAGAGTGGGGTGTTAGAATGGAGGGTGTACATTTCATAAAAGAAATAAGTACAGAAATAAGCATGGGTAGCAGTTTACTGGGAAAGAGAAAGCATCTGTTTATACCCTATCTTATTCCAGAAAAGCAATCTGAACAGTGAGCTGTCAGATGTGCCTGGAATATACGCATTCCTAGAGTCATGCAAGAGTCACCAATTTTTTTATGGAGAATAGAGTGATTGTGGAGAGTTGGGTACAAAAGGAAGAGTTTGAAGTAAATCCTGTAGGTAATGAGGAATCATTGAAAATAATGATTCCTCATTACCTACAGGATTTACTTCAAACTCTTCCTCTTATGTCAAAGAAACCCCTTATTTATATTGGAATAAGTAGAGAAACAGGCCAGGCACAGTGGCTCATGCCTGTAATTACAGCACTTTGGGACTCTGAGATGGTGAATCACTTGAGTTCTGGAGATCAAGGCCAGGCTGTAAAACATGGCAAAACCCTGTCTTTACTAAAATTAAAAAAATTAGCTAGGCGTGATGGCACATTCCTAAACTCACAGCTAATCACAAACCTGAGGTAGGAGGATGGATGGAGTCTGGGAGGCAGAGGTTGCAGTGAATTGAGATCATGCCACTGCACTCCAGCCTCGGTGGCAGAGAAAGACACTGTCTCAAAATAATAGTAATAATCATCAAAAAGAAACAGAAGCAGAGTTGTGGCATAGGATGTTTGCCTTGGCATGAGGCTATAAAATGGACTGGTATAGGGGATAGAAGAGAAAACAAAATGATCAAGAGATTAACCAGAATGTCGGTGCCAAAGTTTTCACGAGGACCGTAACCAGGATCCAGCAGTGGAAGCGGAGAAGGGGAGAGATACATCGTGTTTGAATTTCATACCTCACCTTGAATGTCCTGGTACCTAATGGATCTGGGCTGAGAGGAAAAGAAGACAAAATCACCCCTACAGTTTCCTGTTTGGACAACTGGGAGGAGAGTGGGGCCCTTACTTAGGAATTGCGGATGGGCTTCAATCATGAATTTCATTGAAAAACTCTTGTCAGATATCATCAAAAGCAGACAGCAATGCTGAAAATGAGTCAGCCACCAGTGAACCAACATCCAGCTGTCTAGCGTCTAGCCAAGGGCAGAGGGTACAGCGCCGATACCTTCAGGCTCCTCTGAAACCCACAGAAACTGAGGCTGCCAGTAAAGCGGTCACCTGGAGTTAGCCCACGCCGTGAACACCGTGCTACATGGAGCCCAGATAAATACTCTGCACTCATCCATGCTTTGTAATCTGCATGCGGCTCACAGCTGGCTTATTTCCTTTCACAGCCATCTCGGGAGGTAGGCATTCTGAGTCCCACTGTATCGATGAGGGAACTGAGGCTCAGAGACTTGAAGCACAGATCCGAGGTCAGGCTTCTTGTGAAGGCTCAAACCTGCTCACCCCACCGCAAGCTTTGTAGTCTGTGCCCCAGGTGCAGGACTAGCTATTTAGAATCAACTTTTCTGAGAAAGATTAAGAATAAATCAGTGTAACTGAAATTGGCAGCAAAGGACAAACAACAGTGAGAGCAAAATTCAGAACGAAAAATTCAAGGCTGAAGAAATTCCTTCATGGGGTACAGGCGGGACCATTTGCTCTCCCGATGGCTCTGCCGTTGTTTTGTCTACTCCCAGCCCCTTCCATTGTCAGGAAACTCCAGGAAGGCCCTGCAGTGGGGGAGGCAGGGAAGAGGCTGCTGGGGAGGAGGTGGGTGACAGCCTGAGAGTGGAATTTTCTCTGGTTGCATTTCCACCTCTGCCCTTCCTGCTCCCTTCCTCTGCTTCTCCTGTGCTGCTACTTCAGACAGACTGGCTCAAAGGAATGGCTATGTCAAAGCAGAAGAGCCCAAAGCAGAGAGAAAAGGACTCTTCCCCAGTGAGTCTGCGGGGATCTAGAGGGACCAGGAAAGGGGACTTCGTTGACGGAGCCAGAGCTCCCTCCTTCTCCTGTGGACTCAGCAAGTGTTTTATGTAGACTAAACGCAGTCACTTATATGGTGTGAGTTGAGCTAGAGGGGTCTAGAGAAGCTGCTAGACAAAGTACTGTTTAAGAGCGCAGATGCGGCACTAGACTGCCTGGGTTCAAATCCAGCTTTGCCTTAATCTAACTGTGGGAGCTTAGACAAGTTGATTAACCTCTCTGTGCCTGTCTTCTCATCTGTAAAAAAGGATAATAATGTTTCTGATCTCATAGAGTTGTTATGAGGAGTCATGAGTCAGCATAGTGCCCGGCACAGAAAGAACACTGGAAGGATTCTGTTTTATCTTCGTACAGACCCCTGCCCATCCATTATGCCCCCTGCATTTCACCATAGGAGAACTGTTCCTCTAGGCTGGGCATTCCTTTTTCCTGACATCAGATGTTAGATTGCAAATATTGCTGAGACATAAGGATCACGAACATTTAATATTGGTCGTGTGTTAATATTTGTTTATCAAAGACACCATTAAAACAGAGGGTGGAGGAAATCAAAAGAGGTCAGAGAAGAGTGAAAGAAGAGTAGAGTGTTGCGTGTGGTCCCAGAGTGCTGTCAAGGCAGGGGGTCGGGGGGCTGTGTGGGCAGGGCTGGACCTTCTAGGCAGCCAGAACCCACATCCCCCAATCCCCTGGGTTGGGAGGAGCACAGGGAATTGGTCTGGGGCCCACAGAGAGGCAAAGGGAGTGACTGAAGACCCACTCTGCCAAGGATCAGCCCCGGAGACAAGTGATGAAGCCTCTGGCTGAAGCTCTGGTCTGAGCCCTGCTACACATCCATCAGCTCGTCTCGGCGAGTCACCTTATGTTTCTGGACCTTGATGGGTTTATTGTCCAGTTGCATGTGACCTTTTTTCTACCTTCTTCACAGGGTTATTTGCCCAAGGAGTTACTACAGCAAATTCTGCAGTCAATTTCCTTGGGGTGTTCAGCCACAGAGACAAATGGTTAGAAAAATAAGGCGAGAAATATAAATGCGCATGTCTTGTCTCCTACTGCTTCTTACTCTGTCTCTGTTCTGTGCTGTGCACTTGTGCATGCTCTCTCTCTCTCACTGATGCTCTCTCACTCTCTCTCTCTCTCTCACTGATGCTCTCTCACTCTCTCTCTCTCTCACTGATGCTCTCTCACTCTCTCTCTCTCTCACTGATGCTCTCTCACTCTCTCTCTCTCTCACTGATGCTCTCTCACTCTCTCTCTCACTGATGCTCTCTCACTCTCTCTCACTGATGCTCTCTCACTCTCTCTCTCTCTCACTGATGCTCTCTCACTCTCTCTCTCACTGATGCTCTCTCTCACACGATCTTTCTCATTCATTGTCTGTCTTTCTGATTCTCTCTCTCTCTCTGACTTTCTTCCCCCCTCGTTTTCTTTTTCTTTCTGACACACACATATTTACACACACATCTGTACCCTCACTTCCTTTTATTTTGCCATCACTAAAGATGCTAAGGAACTATCAAATGAAACAAAGCCTGGGGCACTCTGCAGAGACAGGGACCCCCTGGTGAGGTCTCCAGGTAAACAGTGTCCTTTGTGAATATTGCACAGCAATTGCCAAGACAAAAAGCTTCAGAACGTAAAAGAGTTGTAGACAAAAAAGAACTGATGTGGGATTTTCTAGGAGAGAAGAAAAGAGGCCTGGAGGCTGAGGTGGCTGCTGCTCAAGTTCCGGGGCAGGGCCAGAATCCAGTCTCTGGACACCCCGTCCAGTATCCTTCACACTGTCCCATTTAATACGATTTCCTTTCTGATGACTTTGGATGTGGAATTGGCTTTCATTTGGCTACGACTTTCCATAACTTGTTAGACAAAGTCCACGTCCCCACACCCAGGCAGAGTTTAAGATGGACCACACACCCATGAGCCAAGTTTACTTACTAGAAAATTCCTCCCTCGACTCCGGTCTGAAGGTCTTGTCCAAGGCCCTGATCTCCTTCAGCTCCTTCTCCTCCACCAAGAGGCGGACGATCCTCCGACCCAGAAACCCTCCTGCTCCTGTCACAAGGCAGCTCCAGCCCATCGTGGAAAATCCAAGGTAGCAGGAGACGCTCCCCAGGAAACAGAAGATGCCGGGGAGCAGATCTGATTCTAGGGTGACCCTGAAGAAAGCTAAAAACAGAGGCAAAATGGTTATATACTCAGACAGATCACTTATTTTCCTCCACCCATTTTTTTGCAAAAATTCCATGACCTGACTACTGCCAGGAGTAGTTGAAAGGAAAGAAAAAAGCTCTAACCGTGGGTTAGCCTGGATGGAGGAGTCGGGGTCCTCGTTGCCTCATCCCTGGAGGCAGCACCGGAGCTTTATGCTCTGTGGCTTCTGGCTCAGCCCTTATCACCTTGAACTCCTGCCATATACTGATTGCTCCCTCCTCCTCCAGGATCCCTTTTCACAGAATAGTGACCTTTAGGTTCTATCTCTAATTCTTCCCAGGAACAGGAAGAGAAATCCAATCTTAAGGCCGATAAAGAGCCTTGGGTTTAGCCTTAACAGAACATTGATCAGTCGGCACCAGCTGTCTGGGGTCGGCAATCTGTGAATTTAACCAAACTGGGAGAAATCTCCAAGTGAAATGTAAATTTTGTCCTTGTATAGTAAATCCACCCAGATGGAAATCCACGTTAGCCCATTCACTCCCCTCTCAGAGTGCCATTTGAAATGTGGCTGCTGTCTTGCAAAGTTTAGAAATTTACGATGGTGACAGCTCCAGTCACTAAGTTTTATGTCAGGTGACTCTTTTCCACCGGTATATCCAAAGCCTCAATTGCAGTTTTCCCCTGGAGAGCTCCGGGTTCCCGGTGGAAGAACCTCACTGAATAAAAGGTATCTAGTGATAACTTAATTACCTGGCCTGTACTACAAGTGTGGGGATTTGTGACTGTGTGCCCCAATGAGTCCTATCAAAATAGCAAGTTTCTGAATGGAAGATTCCATGAATGCTTCTGAAACCCACGCCCGTCTGCCCAAACATCACTGCCATAAAATCCTCAAGACACTTTTCTCTATTTAAAAAAATCCAGATGTGATTTACATGCATGGTAAGGCCCGTATCTTAAGCGTTCACTGTACACGTAAGTGTGCAGTGTCAGTGAAGCTTGACAGTGATGTATGTCAACCTAAGTACCACCCCAAGGAAGATATAAGCCATTTCCTTCAGTCCAGGACATTTTTCTGCCTGTTCTTAGTTAATTTCTTACCCTTTCCCCATTTACCTGGTAGACAGTTTCAGATTTTTATTCCCACAGAATTCCCATCTTATTTCTATGTTTTCCTACTTTTTTCTTCTAAGATCTTTGTGGTTCTGGATATATATTTAAATATAAAATCACTCTGAACTAAACTTTTGTTCATAAAGTACGGAAGAATTGACCCTCGATTGGCTCTCTTGTTTTTCATCTTTCTGCTTTGTGATTTTCATTATTTTTATTATTGGCTGACATTTATTAACTTTGGGTTCATTTTACTCTTGTTTTTCAGGTTCTTATGATAAAAGCGTGGATAAGTGACTTTTCCTTTGCTCATTTCCACCGTAGGCATTTACAGTTGTAAAGTTTTCTCTAAACAACATGTGAGCTGTAGCCAGCATTTTGATGCACTGGGTTATCAGCATCTAGTTAATGGCGTTTTGATTTTCTTTTGTGAGATTTTTTCTTTGATCCAAGTGTTATTCGGAAGCATGTTGCTTGTTTTCTAAAATTGGGGGTTTTCTAGATGTCTTATTGTTATGGATTTCCAATTAAATACTATTATGCCCAGAGCATTTGCCATGTATGATTTTGATTTTGGATATATATTGAGACTTGTTATATGGTGCAGCGTATGGTCTAAGTTGGTGAAAATGCCGTAAACACTCGAAAACAATGCTTTCTGCAGTTGTTGGAAGTAATACTCTACAGATGATTTGCTTTGAAACCCCACTCTGGATCTTGCCCTCCTTCCGTGTTGCAGACATTCAACTACTACCTGGGACCTGACTAGCAACACTTCAAACCCACTTGCCTAGAAGAGGTTGGCCCTGTGCTTCAAGATGTAGCAGCTTGTTCTCTGAAGCTCTCAGAACTAGCTACAAGTGCTGGGTCTTGCTGAGACCACGCAGGTGCATCACACACCTTTGCCTGCTGTAGCAGATGCTGGAGTGCACCTTACAGACCCCCCATCACCTTCAGGATGGGGCCGGACATTCCCTCAGCTGTTGAGAGTTCTGGAGGCTAATAGATTTCAGCCAGTGTCTCTCAGCGTCTCTGAGTGGAAGCGATAACTGTAAGCTTCCTTTAAACCAATAGATATCTTATTTTCTTTAGGAAAGTGAGAAATAAGACAAAGAGCAAGGCTGGTGGGGGCCATACTACCAACTTTCTGTTTTTAAACTGCTTTACTGAGGTATTATTGACGTATCATAACATTCCCCTGTTTTAAGTGGACAGTTCAATTATTCTTAGTAAAATTTTAGATTTGTGTGGCCATCACCACAATCTCGTTTGGGAACATTTCCATCTTTCCTAAGGAATTCCTCATGCTCCTCGGTTGCCATCCCTTATTCCCAAACCCCCAGCTAGCTCAAGGCAGGCCCTAATTGACTTTCTGACTCCAAAGATTTGATTCTCTGGACACCATATAAATGAAATTATGCAATATGTGGTTTTTTGTGTCTGTCTTCTTTCACTTGGCTTAATACACTCCCGCGGTTCATGGATGTGGTAGCACATATCAAGATTTCATGCCTTTAAGGCGCCAAATTCCATTAAATTGTACGGATGGCTCCCGTTAATTTATTCATTTATTAGTTGATAGATATTTAATGTGTTTCCAGTTTTTGTTGTTTTGTTTTGTTTCGTTTTGTTCCTCTGAGATGGAGCCTTGCTCTGTCACCAGGCTGGAATGCAATGGTGCAAACTCAGCTCACTGCAACCTCTGCCTCTTAGGTTCAAGCGATTCTCCTGCCTCAGCCTCCCGAGTAGCTGGGCCTACAGGTGCACAACACCATGGCTGGCTAATTTTTGTATTTTTAGTAGAGACAGGGTTTCACCATGTTGGCCAGGATGGTCTCGATCTCTTGACCTCGTAATCTGCCCACCTCAGCCTCCCAAAGTGCATTATGGGTAAAGCTGCTATGAATATTCATATTCATGTGGCGTGTAGACATACATTTTTATCTCTTTGGGGTAGACAGATAGGAGTGAAACTGCTAGGTCATATGGTAAATGTGTCTTTAATGTTTTAAGAAGCTGCTGAAATGTTTCTGAACATGGCTGCATGTCCCGTGAGCCATGCATGAGTATTTCAGTTTCCCCACAGCATTGTGTTTTCACTTCCTCAGTTGTTACTGTCTGTCTTTTTTATGGTAGCATTCTCGTGGGTAAGAAACGGTGTCTCACTGTGGTTTTGATTTGCATTTCCCTGCTGACTGATGAGGCTGACCATCTTTTCACGTGATTGGTCATTTCCTTTTTGGTGAAATGGCTGTTCAAATATCTTGCCCACTTTAAAATCGGGTTATTTACCTTTTTGTTGTGTGTGCATTTTACATTCTGGATACAAGTCCTTTCTCAAATCTGTGATTTAATTTTTTCCTCCAGTCTGTGGCTTATCCTTTCACTTTCTTATTGGTGTTGATAGCTTTTTAAATGCAAACATTTTTAGTTTTGATCCTGTCTCATTTTCAACTCCTTTCCTTCTACCAGGAAAACGTAAGCTTTTGCCTAATCCAATGTCACGGATATGTTAATCTGTTTTCTTTAAGACGTGTATAGTTTAGCCCTTACATTTAGGCCTATAATCCATTTTGAGGGAATTTTTGCTTATGTGTGAGTTAATGGCCTAAATTCATATGATCAATTGATTTTGCGAAAGGCAAATTCAATGGGAAAGTTGTTTATACATATGACACGGAGACAACGAAATTGTCCACATGCTCAGGGAAGGTCCGCATGCTGTGTAAAGTCATGCCCATCTGAGTTACCACCTATTGGCGTCAGAGTTTGTGAAGAATTTCTCAATATGATAATCATGGATTAAATAATATGCTGTGTTAGGAAAACTCACAAAGATTACTGGTCAGCAAAAGAACAGATGGCATGATTTCCCCATCCTCCTGTCTTATGCTGAGGCATAAATTATCAAAAGATTGCTGGGCTCGCAATGTGCGTCTTAATTCCAGTGTAGGAACACTATTCTCCTTTATTATAATTTCTTATCCTGTAAGCACAAGGACACATCCTTATCAATGGAGGAACACAGGCTGTTGGTGTGAAACAGTCTGATTTAGGTGCCAGCTGCTCACAACATTGGGAAAATCAACTTCCCAGCACGTAGAGACCTTGGGACTTGTGCGAAGAGTTTCCTTTTTCTTGGGGGAGAAAGCCACCCATTGTACAGGAAGCTATAGTAGACACAATCGCTCATGCTGGGAAAAGGAAAATCTCCCTTCTTGGCCAGCTTATTAAATTCCTGCGTTACTTTAGGATAATTACACCCCTATGCTCGTCCTAGAGAGGTCAATTTGTACATGAAAAGTATAGAATAGATTTTAAAAACACAGGATTAGATGAAATAGCTAAGGTAAGAATACGCATGGATAAAAGAAAAAGTTTCTGGATTGAATCCTGGAATAGAAATAACAGCATTTAGAGGTTGAACAGAGGAGGAAGGGCCAGCTAAAGATACTGAGTAGGAGTTGGTGACAGGAGGAAAATTACTAGGGGATGGCATTGTAAAAGTCACCTGGAGAAAGTGTTTCAAGAAGAGTGTGGTCCCCTATGTTGGGTGCATCAAATCCAATAGGAAGAAAATTGGCCTTTGGTTTTGGCAACATCCTCAGTAATTTGGTAAGAGCAATTTCCTTGAACATTTGGGTTGAAAGCTCAACTGGAAAGTACAGCACACAATTCATCTGTGTGTTGAGGAGAAGAAGGAAGAAGTGAAGGGAGTGACCAGTAATAAAATACCTGTTGTGACCGGGCGTGGTGGCTCACGCCTGTAATCCCAGAACTTTGGGAGGCCGAGGCGGGCGGATCACGAGGTCAAGAGATCGAGACCATCCTGGTCAACATGGTGAAACCGTGTCTATTAAAAATACAAAAAGGAAGCTGGGCATGGTGGCGCGTGCCTGTAATCCCAGCTACTCAGGAGGCTGAGGCAGGAGAATTGCCTGAACCCAGGAGGCGGAGGTTGCGGTGAGCCGAGATCGCGCCATTGCACCCCAGCCTGGGCAACAAGAGAGAAACTCCGTCTCAAAACAAAAACAAAAACAAAAACAAAAAAACCTGTTGTTTCTCGAGCAGCGGCAGTTCTCACTACAGCGCCAGGACGAGTCAGGTTCGGGTTGGTCCGCGGAGATCTCTCTCCTCTCGCTCGGCTGCGGGAAATCGGGCTGAAGCCACCGAGTCCGCGTCGGAGAGAGAAAAGGAACCGTCCCATAAGCTCTTTATTGGTGGCTTAAGCTTTGAAACCACAGAAGGAGGTTTGAGGAACTACTACGAACAATGGGGAAAGCTTACAGATTGTGTGGTAATGAGGGATCCGGCCAAAGATCGAGAGGATCTGGTTCTGTGACTTTCTCCTCCACGGCTGAGGTTGATGCTCAGGGCTGCAAGGCCTCATTCCATTGATGGGAGAGTCCTTGAACCAAAACGTGCTGTAGCAGGAGAGGAATCTGGAAAACCGGGGGCTCATGTAACTGTGAAGAAGCTGTTTGTTGGTGGAATTAAGATACTGAGGAACGTCACCTTAGAGATGACTTTGAGGAGTATGGAAAGATCGATACCATTGAAATAATTACTGATAGGCAGTCTGGAAAGAAGAGAGGCTTTGGCTTGGTTACTTTGATGACCATGATCCTGCGGATAAAATCGTGTTGCGGAAATACCACAGCATCAGTGGTCCTAATGCAGAAGGAAGAAAGGCTCTGTCTAGACAAGAAATGCAGGAACTTCAAAGTTCTAGGAGTGGAAGAGGAGGCAGCTTTGGCTTTCGGGATTCTCGTAGCGGTGGAGGAAATTTCGGACCAGGACCAGGAAGTAACTTTAGAGGAGGAGCTGATGGATATGGCAGTGGACGTGGATTTGGGGATGGCTACAGTGGGTATTGAGGAGGACCCGGAGGTGGCAATTTTGGAGGTAGCCCTGGTTATGGAGGAGGAAGAGGAGGATATGGTGGTGGGGGACCTGGATATGGCAACCAGGGTGGGGGCTACAGAGGTGGTTATGACAACTATGGAGGAGGAAATTATGGCAGCGGAAATTACAATGATTTTGGAAATTATAACCAGCAACCTTCTAACTACGGTCCAATGAAAAGTGGAAACTTTGGTGGCAGCAGGGACATGGGGGGACCATATGGTGGAGGAAACTATGGTCCAGGAGGCAGTGGAGGAAGGGGGGGTTATGGTGGGAGGAGCCGATATTGAGCTTCTTCCTCTTTGCCATGGGCTTCACTGTGTAAAAATAGGAAAGGATGAGAACCCAGAGGTAACAGAACAGCTTCAGGTTATTGAAATAACAATGTTAAGGAAACTCTCATCTCAGTCATGCATAAATATGCAGTGATATGGCAGAAGACACCAGAGCAGATGCAGAGAGCCATTTTGTGAATGGATTGGATTATTTGATAACATTACCTTACTGTGGAGGAAGCATTGTAAAAAAAAATGCCTTTGAGACAGTTTCTTAGCTTTTTAATTGTTGTTTCTTTCTAGTGGTCTTTGTAAGAGTGTAGAAGCACTCCTTCTTTGATAATGTTAAATTTGTAAGTTTCAGGTGACATGTGAAACCTTTTTAAAGATTTTTCTCAAGGTTTTGAAAAGCTATTAGCCAGGATCATGGTGTAATAAGACATAACGTTTTTCCTTTAAAAAAATTTAAGTGCGTGTTTAGAGTTAAGAAGCTGTTGTACATTTATGATTTAATAAAATAATTCTAAAGGAAAAAAAATACCTGCTCATCAAGAAGTTGTGCCATGAAGATCTCAGTAAAAAGATGTTACGGCCAGTGGAGTCAAGAGTTTCTTTTTGTTGTGTTGTCTTAAGCTGGACTCTTCCCTTTATTGATCCGTAGCACCCCGTACAGAGTGATCTTCAAACATTGTTGAGCGACTAAATAATGTCTGTGTCTCATACATCTTTTTATTACCATAAGAATGTGCACAACATGTGACACATAATAGAAACTTAATAAACGTTTATGGAATAAATGAGTGGAAGGATGAGTGAGCAATCGAGGACTCTAGAATGTTTTTGTGCTTTTGAAACTTAGTGCTTATGAACTAATACATAAAAGGAAATAGAAAAGAACAGTGACCACAAAAATGAGCATACTGGAAAGTTTCTCATACTAATGACGGGTTGGGACCACTGCCCAGGCCAGAGATGTTTGCCAAGGAGAAGCAATTTTCTTCCCATTCAGAGGATGGATGTGAGTAGGTTCCCAATTGTTTGAAGTATATTTGAAAAGCTGGTTGTCAGAAGTAAGGAAGAATGGGTCATTACCCCCACTGTACACCGGGAGCTAGGTCCAGAGCTTTTGGGTTATATGAGCTCCGTTTGGCTGTCTTTCCCAGCAAGGCCTTCAGTTTGAGGAAGAAGGCTTTAGCAAAATCTCTTTCCCATCCCTTACGAATAACTCTGCCAAGTATCTTGGGAGGGAGGTCACATAGATGCCATTCAATCAGGGGCTCCAGAGGCTGACAACGATGGTATGGTAGCCAGCCTCCGAGGTGGCAACGATCATCTCTACCTCCTGCTATTCATACCTTTGATTTGTTCTTTCTGCTTAGTCTTAATCTGGCTATGCAGGCTCTTGTTGGATTTCATATGAATTTTAGGAATACACCTAACCAAAGAGGCAAAAGACCTCTACAAGGAAGACGACAGAACACCGCTGAAAAAAATCATAGATGAAGCAAACAAATGGAAACACTTCCCATGCTCATGAATGGCTAGAATCAATGCTGTGAGAGTGACCGTAGTGCCAAAAGCGATCTACAAATTCAGTGCAATTCTCATCAGAATAACACCATTATTCTTCACGGAACTAGAAAAAATATTATATAATATTATAATACTATTTTCGTAAAATAGTATAATATTATGTTTTTTGTGTGCCAGTTTTGTTGAGGGCTTTAGTCATAAAGGGATGTTGGATTTTGTCAGATGCTTTTTCTGCATGGATTGAGATGATCATGTGATGTTTTCTTTTTAATTCTGTTTATGTGATATATCACATTTATTGACTTGTGTATGTTAAACCATCCCTGCATCCTGGTATGAAACCCACCTGATCATGGTGATTATATTTTGGATATGCTGTTAGATTCAGTTGGCTAATATGTTGTTAAGGATTTTCGCATCTATATTCACCAGAGATATTGGTCTTTAGTTTTCTTTTTTTGTGATGTCCTTTCCTGGTTTTGGTATTAGGGTGATACTGGCTTCATAGAATGGTTTAGGGAGAATTCTTTCTTTCTCAATCTTGTGAAATAGTGTCAATAGGATTGGTACCAATTCCTCTTTAAATGCCTGGTGGAATTCAGTTGTGAATCCACCTAGTCCTGGACTTTTTTGTTGTTGGTGGTAATTTTTAAAATTACCTTTTCATTCTCACTGCTTATTATTGGTCTGTTCAGGGTTTCAAATTCTTCCTGATTTAAGCTAGGAGAGTTGTATCTTTCCAGGAATTTATCCATCTCTTCTAGGTTTCTTAGTCTATGCACATAAAACTGTTCATAGTAACCTTGAATAATCTTTTGTATTTCCATGGTGTTGGTTGTAATACCTCCCATTTTGTTTCTGATTAAACTTATTTAGCTTTCTTCTTTTCTTGGCTAATCTTGCAAGTGGTCTTTCAATTTTATTTATCTATTTAAAGACCCACCTTTTTGTTTTACTTTTGTTTTTTGGTTGTTTGTTTGTTTCAATTTTATGTAGTTCTTCTCTGATCTTGGTTTTTTTTTCTTCTGCTGGGTTTGGGTTTGGTTTGTTGCTGTTTCTCTAGTACCTTAGGTGTGATCTTACATTGCCTATTTGTGGTCTTTCGGACTTTTTGATGTAGGCGTTTAAGGTCTGCCTCATGAACTTTCTTCTTAGCACTGCCTTTGCTGTATCCCAGAGATTTTGATATGCTGTGTCTCTATTATCATTCAGTTTGAAGAATTTTAAAATTTTTTATCTTGATTTCATTTTCGACCCAATAATCACTCAAGAGCAGTTTATTTAATTTTCATGCAGTTGCATGGCTGTGAAGGTTCCTTTTGAAATTGATTTCCAATTTGAGTCCACTGTACTCTGAGAGTGTATTTGATATAATCTGAATCTTCTTAAATGTATTGAGATTTGTTTTGTGGCCTATCATATGGTCTGTCTTGGAGAAAGTTCCATGAACTGATGAATAGAATGTACATTCTGCAGTTGTCAGGTAGAAGGCTCTGTAAATATATGTGAAGTCCATTTGTTATGGGGTATAGTTTAAATATATTGTTTCTTTGTTGACTTTTGTTCTGTTGTCCTGTCTAGTTCTGTTAGTGGAGCACTGAAGTCCCCCACTATTAATATGTTACTGCCGATCTCATTTCTTAGATCTAGTAGTAATTGTTTTACAAGTTTTGGAGCTCCAGTGTTGGTTGCATGTATATTTTGGATTGTGATATTTTTCTGTTGGACAAGGCCTTTTATCATTATATAATGACCCTATTTGTTTTTTTTTAACTGCTGTTGCTTTAAAGTTTGTTTCATCTGATATAAGAATAGCTACTTTTGCTCACTTTTGGTGTCCATTTGTATGGAATGTCTTTTTCCATTCCTTTACCTTAAGTTTATAAATGTCCTTATGTGTTAGGTGAGTCTCTTGAAGGAACCAGATATTTGGTTGGTGAATTCTTACCCATTCTGCAATTTTGTATCTTTTAAGTTAAGCCTTTATGCCACTTATATTCAACATTAGTATTGAGATTTGAGGTACTATTCCATTCATTGTGCTATTTGTTGCTTGTATACCTTGGGTTTTTTTTTTTAAATTGTATTTTTGTTTTGTAGGTCCTGTGAGATTTATGCTTTAAAGAGGTTCTGTTTTGATGTGTTTTCAGATTTGTTTCAAGATTTAGAGCTTCTTTCACCATTTCTTGCAGTGGTAGCTTGGTAGTGGTGAATTCTCTCGACATTTATTTGTCTGAAAAAGATTGTATCTTTCCTTCATTATGAAGCTTAGTTTTGCTGGATACAAAATTCTTGGCTGATAATTTTTTTGTTAAAGGAGGCTAATGATAGGGCCCCAATCCCTTCTGCTGATAAGTCTCTGTTAATCTGATAGGGTTTCCTTTATGGATTTTGCCTATAAGGAAAAAAGCCCTTTTGCCTGACAGCTCTTAAGATTCTTTCATTTGTCCTGATTTTAGATAACCTAATGACAATGTGCCTAGGCAATGATCTTTTTACAATGAATTTCCCAGGTGTTCTTTGAGTTTCTTGTAGTTGGATTTCTAGGTCTCTAGCAAGGCCAGGAAAACTTTCCTTGATTATTCCCCCAAATATGTTTTCCAAACTTTTAGATTTCTCTTCTTCCTCAGGAATGCCAATTATTCTTAGGTTTGGTCATTTAACATAATCACCAGCTTCTTGGAGGCTTTGTTCATTTTTAAAATTTTTCGTTTTTCTTTTTTTTGTCTTTATTGGATAGGGTTAATTCTAAAACCTTGTCTTTGAACTCTGAAGTTCTTTCTTCTGCTTGTTCAATTCTATTGCTAAGACTTCTCAGTATAGTTTGCATTTCTCTGTGTCCTTTATTTTCCAAAGTTGTGATTGTTTTTATTTATGCTGTATATTTCACAGGAGACTTTCCCCCTCGTATCTTGTATCATTTCTTAATTTCCCTAAATTGGACTTCACGTTTCTCTGGTGCCTCCTTGATTTGCTTAATAATCAACCTTCTGAATTCTTTTTCAGGTAAATCAGGAATTTCTTCTTGGTTCAGATCCATTGCTAGTGAGCTGGTTTGATTTTTTTTGGTGGGGGGTGTTTAAAAACCTTGTTTTGTCATATTACCGGGATTGTTATTCTGGTTCCTTTTCATTTGGGTAGGCATGTCAGAGGGAAGATCTGGGACTCAAGGCTGCTGTTCAGATTCTCTGTCACATATAGCCTTCCCTTGATGTATATTATCCCCCTTTTCCTAGGGATGTGGCTTCCTGAAAGCTGAACCACAGTGACTGTTATTTCTCTTCTGGGTATAGTTATCCAGCAGGGCTACTAGGCTCTGGGCTAGTACTGGGGGTTGTCTGCACAGAGTCTTGTGACAGATCTCTCAGCTGTGGATACCAGCACCTGCTCTGGTAGAGTTGGCAGGGGAGTGAAATGGACTTTGTGAGGGTTCTTAGTTTTGGTTGATTAAATGCACTATTTTTGTGCCAGTTGGCCTCTAGACAAGAGGTGGGATTTTTTTTTTTTTTTTTTGAGATGGAGTTTCGCTCTTGTTACCCAGGCTGGAGTGCAATGGCGCGATCTCGGCTCACCGCACCTCCGCCTCCTGGGTTCAGGCAATTCTCCTGCCTCAGCCTCCCGAGTAGCTGGGATTACAGGCACTTGCCACCATGCCCAGCTAATTTTTTGTATTTTTAGTAGAGACGGGGTTTCACCATGTTGACCAAGATGGTCTCGATCTCTTGACCTCGTGATCCACCTGCCTCGGCCTCCCAAAGTGCTGGGATTACAGGCTTGAGCCACCGCGCCTGGCCGAGGTGGGATTTTTAAGAGAGCACCAGCTGTGGTAGTATAGGGAGGATCAGACAGTGGGCAGGGCCCTAGAACTCCTAAGAAAATATGCCGTTCAGCCACCAGGGTGCATAGGGAAGGACCATCAGGAGGGGGCAGGGTTAGGCATGTCTGAGCTCAGACTCTCCATGGGTGGGCTTGCTGCAGCTGCTGGGCTATAGGGCTGTGGTTCAG